CGGGTCACAATTCTTTCTTATTGGTTAGAGAAATATTTGCTTGTCCAAAATTTATTCAAGTAATTTACTCGGAACATTTTTTAATATGATAAATAATCTAAGTTTGAGAACTTCGATGATTAGGCGAATTTTGATATTAAGTTTGATGCTACAAGAAAATAAACATAATTCCGACGGAAATATAGTGGAAAAGGTATTAAATCGTTGGGAAGCATACAAATTAGGGTTAATTTGTTAACTAACCATATTGAGCTTTTTATATTAAGCTTATAGCCATCATATATCCCCAAATGTATCAAGTAACCAACCATATGTACACTATTTGGCAAAGAGAATTGACAAAACTATCCCTCCTTTTTCTTCTCGTTCCTATGTAGAGAAAAATACATTTATTTTCATCACTTTTTGTTTTAACTTCTCTGGATAATAAATTTACCTGCAGGGATTTGATTTTTTTTTTTTTATGGTCCTTGCTTCTATTATTAATACCACGTTCTTCGTTAGGATCCTTGAACCTTTGGACAGTTTTATTGGAATTGTCACTTTTTAAGGCACACATATGAATTTGAACTGAAACGAAATGGATTGTGAGGTGGGAGACTTTTGGCTTTGGGAGAGTTTTTTTGCTTCTCTTTTTTTTTTTCTGATAAAAAAAGTGATTCCAGAATAGCTTTAGGAGAGTTAGAAGATCTATTTAACAAATCTTTAAGATACATTGGGCTCTTTCTTAGAGTTTTTCATCGGTTCTTGATTATAATAATTGTTGATTCAAAGATAATAAAGATGATCTGTTCGTGTTTCTTCATTATCCAGAATCTTGAATCTTTTCATTTATTTGAATCTACAATAGATATCATATGGTTAGATCTCTCTCTTTTTTTTTTTTTTTGGTCAAAGATGGTTAGATCCTACATTGCATGGAAACGTGAAAAAAGTGGCGTTTCCGTTTCGGAAACGTTTCGGAAACAGAAATACGACGGAAACGCGTTTCCTAAATATTCCGATTTGGAAACGTTTTGGAAACGCGAATTTTGGTTTTTTTTTTAAATTAATTTTGGTTTTTGAAGCAAATTAAATAAATATTTTGAAAATATAGGGATTTGTTTGATATTTTTAATAAGTTTTAAAACCTAATTATTAAACACTAATACATTATTTTTCTCTAATCGTCATCGTAACCTAAAAACGTAGAAGAGTCAAAGAGATAAGTAAAGTATTTTTTTCAATTACAGTAGATTTGTTATTGATTATTGAAATTGTGAAGTCGTATACAAAAACAAAGTGTTTTTTTCCGCATTTTCTAACGTTTCGCTTCCGCGTTTCCATTTCCGTTTCCATGCAGCTTAGGTTAGATCTCTAATTATAGTATTTTTTGTTGGTCATATATCCTAATTTCCCTAAATTTTACTTTCAATTTTTTTTGTTTTAAATAATAAATTAGAAAGAAACAAAAAAAAGGTCTATTAGGCAGATAAATTGAACCATTTTAATCTGTTGGTTCGGTTTAATTTGATGAACACTTTTGTCTTTTATTTTATCAAACAAACACGGATTTTAAGATGATGACAGGGAAGATCTATTCGCAAAATTAACCCCAAAGTGCGTCAATATCATCAACCTTTGAGCTCTTCTTCCTC